TCTTAATTGAGGATAAATGTATATGTCAAAACAACCACTAAGATGGAATGCCTCGTTTCCTATAAAAAGTATCTCAAGTTCACTACACTGACTATACGAAACACAGCAGCATTAAGCTGCTATTTTACGCTAGTATTCTGTGAGAGCGTGGTCCTTCCCCGGTTAAGCTGACGTATACGTGCTGCAACCATAACATAGCTGCAGCGTCGCTCTACTATGTCACCTGGCAAGTGTGACCATTAGGACAAATTTTCTCTACAAAGAGATGGCATAAGCCCAGCAGTGGGCTTTTACTGGTAGATAATAATAACGATCCCATATAATAATACAAAAAGAATTTCAGAAACGATTTTTTTTAAATACTTACTATAAATAATACTTATGGAAAGTCACTCTTACGTTTCATTTACCATTAGTTCGGAAAATACCTCTGTCCTGGGTATACTCTACTGCACTGCAAAAATGCTGTCTTGGCATTTTGTTTAAAAGAACGCATAAACACAAGAGTTAAGTTGTGTCAATATCACACTAAAAATAAAAATTAAATTTAAAAGCTCATTATACACACACACACACACACACGCGTACGCACACGCACACACACACACACACACACAAGGTCAATTAGCTAATAAGTGTTCATTTCATCGTAAGAAAATTGTTTCACTATTTGTATTTATCTTACTTAAAATAAATCACTTGAAGTAATGCGCACACACTATCCCGGAAGATTCGCGGTGAACTGAAAGCGAAACTTCCAACTTCCAAAATGGGGAAAATAATACTCTACGATATAAGCGTGCGTGCAAGTGCGCCGTCGCCTTTGAAGACCGCCGCCGAAGACATCGCTGTCGACGAACGTAGTCTCACATCGTGATAGTTTGCACTGCGTGGCAACGTTGCTTTTTAATGTTCAAGTAATAAAGTTCATTGAAACATGGACTTATTGACCTAATTCTGCAGAGAGTTCAAATTAGCTCAAATTTAAAACGCTACTTTTTGGCCTAATTACTGGACCGATTTCGTAAATTTTTTGTATATCGTCATCAAAGGCAATAACAAGTATGTGGTTTCATTTATTGAATATATGTGGTACCCATTCTGTATAATTTTTTTATGTATTCCAGTTAACGTAGCCGCAAAATTGTGAGCAATTCATAAGCAATCAGATATAATCGGTAGTTAAGTTATGAGAATTTCGTATATTTATAGAATAATGTTTAAAAATGTATTTAATTGTATTCACCTTGAGTTGACTAGTGGACAATGCTTGCAGCATTTAGTACGCCCTCTGTGTTCTTTTTCTTTTGTAATAATATAAGTATTTTGTAATTATAGAATGTAATAAAAAATAGTAAAAAAAATTATATAAACTGTAAGTTGAACAAACCTTTTAACTGTAAATTAAACGACGAATTTAAAATATCGAATTTTGTGTCCAACATATTAATTTTTGTCCATCACTATTTTTTATAATAATCTATAGGCATAAAAAAATTCATCAAATGTTCATTATTTATTTTAGGAGGAATCATAACTTTGTCTAATATTGTGGTGTAATTCATATTGTACCGTGTAGTGGCGGTGTAAGAACTTCCACAAGGCCATATCATTTCATGGCTGATGTGGGAGGTGACCGTAGGAAACAGATCCGGAGACGGCAGCAGCGTCTTCCCAATAACGACTAAAAGTAAAAATAAAATGCGGTTGCCAACCGCTTGCCAAGCGTGGCAACTATGAAGCAATTAATGGGGAAGGCCTGTGTTTGCCAGTGGACTCTAAGGATTGTAATAGTAACGGCAGTTGAAAATATTGTAATCGCTATAAGTAGTCTGACTCGATGTAATATAATTGCGACAAGTGTACAAGTTGTGCACCACGTGATCAGAACAGTAAAAAATATACAATGATAAATTGTTTTCAATTTTATATTTTCAAATAATAAGTACAGTAAGCCGTCTGCATTGAATCAGAATCATTTGTCTAGTGGACTTTATTTTGTGATAATCTTTTTTGGCACTAAACCAAAATAATATTATATTGTATGTATGAGTATAATAATTATGAATTTGATTATATTTTATTATGTACATATCGAGATCTGTTAATTAATCTATGTTCATACAATATACAGATCTGATTTGATGCGAGTGTTTGTATGTCTGTCTTTTTTTTAAAGAATAAAGGTGACAAACGGACACACAGTCCACCTGATGGTAAGTGGATGCTGAGGCTCCGACATCTACATCTGTCCTCGATTAAGAATCAAAATGCAGACGCGTTGTCACCCCTGAGGACCAAGATGGAATGCCTCGTTTCCAGTAAAAAGGGTCTTTTTTTTTTATAGAAGAGGGGGCAAACGGGCATGCGGCTCACCTGATAGTAAGTGACTACCGCCGCGCCACCCAAAAGTAATTTTTTCTTCGGTTTTCTACACTTACCATACGTAACACAATAACATTAAGATGCTATTTTACGCTGGTATCCTAAGAGATATGTCTGCTCATTTAATGAAGTGTATGATGTGTAATGTAAATATATCCAACACTAAATGACAATCATTTAAGCAGTTGCGTACAGTAACAAAATTTACTGTGGGATGCACAATGATTTTCTTTAGCTGGTATTTCAATTATAATAACTTGCTTAAATTCCTCTTACAATCTGTACAGTGAACAGGCTTTTGTTATGCTTAGACAGTGCGATTTACCATCTAGATCGTCATCACCACTAAGCACCGGATGAATTGCGGTCGAGCTCTGGATTGTAACAAGTAAAAACAAAAATGCAATTGAAGCATTTTGATATACAGGAAGTTATCTATAGTTTGATGTAGTGAAAGTGAATTTTCCAGAAAGATCCTTTACAAACAAAAAAATCATAAATACCGTGTAAAATAATATGCATAACGTTATAGAAAAATTTCAATGATGTATCGGTAATGATGCAAATTTGACACCGAGTTATTTGTTACCATTGTTCTAGTTTCAAATTTAAATGTTATATATCTTATAAACTTATAATGCAATGCAACTACATTATCTATAATACTAAATGTTAAAATAAATTATACAGATTTTGTATTTCTTAATCACATTTTGTAACTATGACAAACTGATAAAAATATAATTGTCTTCTCGTTAAATAAGATATAAACTATAATAATGTTGCAATTTATACTTTATCCTTTTTTGGATGTTTTCTTTAGTTTTGAACGAGTAATTGAAATGTGTACATATCCTACAAGAATAAAATAATAATTTTGTGTAACAGTAAGTTAACACGTAAGTTTTTTGTAAAACGCGAAGTCTGTTACATCAAAATTTTGTGTGATAGCTCTTTACATGTTTTAATAAATGTTGTTTTTGTTTAATGTTCGTGTTGTACCTTAAACCCTATCCCCTCCCTTATTCATATTTTGTGTTAAATAGTTTCGAATAAAAAGGTAGTATTTAAAATAAGGCATAACAAGCCATTTGACAAATCTTTGTAACCAGTGATATCATTTTTACGCTCTGCTCCTATTATAAAGCATTGAATATATTGCATACTGATATTCAAAGATACTACTGGCTAAACATAAACCTTCCAAAAAGTCGTCTGAAAGCGTTGTTTACCATTTACAACAGCAGTAAACAGAAGTTAAAAGTAAAGAATAAAGAAGGGAAAGTTACAAGATCGTGAATTAAATGTAAGAACAAAAAAAATTCCACTTCTAAGTTTATATTTTCGAATTTGCCGCACAAATCCGTGCGTCGCGCAGGTAACATGGCCGCTTCTGCCTATTCATTATGTCAGCTGGTCTAACATATGCCCAAAGAATATTATGGATGTGTTTTTATTAAAAATGACTATAATAGTCAAGGTTTCTTCATCAATTTGTACTTGGGATTTTAGCGACAATCGGAAATAACTAATAATTATTTGGAAAACGCAACAGGTTATACACTTGTTACAAAATACTTTTCACTTTTAGAAATGCACTGAATAGAAAATTATATTTAGGTATGTGTGTAAGTAGTAAACTTCTGAATTGTGGTCGGATATCCCACAAATTGTCAATATCTTATCTTGCAAAGGCAGCAATTGGATCGGTAATCACTGTAACAAACACCTTTCAAACCATAATTTGACGGTGCATTAGGTATGTCATGAGTGTTTTTCAGCATTAGCAAATTATAAAAGATGATTTAAAAAAGCTTAATGTTAATAAGAATTTCTTAACCCGTGGAACCTAATTTTAATGACTAATAAATGAATGTGAAATATTACATTCGGCACATTTATGGATGAAGGCATGTCCTTACTATTACAGTAACATGCGCAACTTTTTATCAGCGATACATTATCAGCTCGCTGTTATATAACTAAAACGTGCGCTATCACTATCCCTGTCGCACACGCGGGCGGCGCAGCACGCGGCGAACCACCGACTGGTGCCAGAGCGGGACGCACGATGTTGCATTAAATTTCGATCCTATTCTGTAATGTTTGGTCCAATCGCGTCCGATCATTGCGTGTTCCGGTTCTTTGTCATCAATGGATTGCCGGGCGAGTCCACTTCGAATGCCACTTGAAAAGATTTTACGCTATATTTGGGCTATATCATGTCGTAGAAGTAACTTAAATACATGTCCGAGGAATTTGTCCTGGCGTGTGTCGAGTTATTTTGCCTAAACGAGTGGTATTTAACGTGAACGCATTTAAGCCCTTTCGGCATTAATGAGTCGTGCCCACTTCAGCTGACTGCGTTGTACGCAAGGCTACTCCAACAATACTAGTAGTAGTCCGGCGTTCGAGGGAGGCGGTCGGGTGTCGGTTCGCGCAAGTGATATGCGGATATGTTATTTAGGCTTAAAATGTTTTTAGAACGTTCGCCATAGGCGTGAAAGCGTCTAGATAGCGTAGTATTCGTGCCAGTATCGCGAGAATAGTGCGTGCCGCGAAACGCGGCGGTGTGGGTGCAGCGGCGGACGGTAGTGGCGAGCCGAGGCTCAATAATGCTCAAATTCCTGACTCACAAACTGCGAACGCATTCTTTGAATGAGGAGAACGTTTCCGAGAAGGTGGGTGTGAATGCGGCTCAGCCGGCTTTGCGCCGCGAAGGTCACACCGCCACCAGAAAATGGCCGCCCGCTACGCGAGAACAAAGGAGCGGAACGTTTGCCGGCTCTCTCGCCGCGTTATTCGATCCCAATACTAAAGAAATCTGTTTCGTTCGATTTCCAAATTATTAGGGAAAGATTCGCCGTGGTCGTTAAAAGCGAGAGTGTCGGAAAAGCGGCGTTTTCGGCGATGGTGATGACGGCCCAGCGATTGATCTGTCGCTTGAGGTGGTATTCTTGTTGTTGCAGGTGGAGGGGCGAGACTCCGGCACCGAGTCGGACGACGAGGCCGAGTGCACCGACACCGGTGAGTGCTGCCCTGCTTCCTACACTTCACTAAGATCCGATAGCTCATTGCATCTACCCAAATAGATCGGTTGCCCAATACGCCGGTGACTGCTTGGCGTGCAGGTCAACAAATATATGCAAATACTGAACTAAAACAATACACAATGTAAGCACACGGTCGGTGATCGCGGGACCTATTAGAATCTTATTAGCATACCTGTCATGTCGGGTTACCTATTGTAATTGTTTATTTTCATTGGAACCGGTCTTTATCCAACGTTACGCCCGAGCTTTGGTTATGCATTAGGGCGGCAGTTTTATGGTACTACTTCTTTGTTCATTGTCGGTGACCTTGCCGGGCGACCTTGAACATATACAGCTGATGTTATAACGTAGTAGGTGTGCCCAAATTATGTTTACAGATGTCGTTACGTGAAAAATCGTGCTTCAACTTCCCGCAGAAGTTTCGGGAAGCGGCTCTATAATAGTTAGCGGCGACTACGCGTGAAGTTACATTATGATTTACAAACTTACGCGAAATAGTAAGCCGGGCTTAAGTACTTTTAGGGTTCCGTGATTCGAAAAGAATCCCTGATAGGATCACTTTGTTGTACTCCGTTTGTCAAAGAACTACAAGTAGAATGCTCAAGCTAAAATTAATACTTATATTTCGTAATTACTATGGTCCCTTGAAGGTGTAAAAAATTAAAATTTCTAAGACAACGCAATCAAAAGAACTTTTTTTTTTCATGGAAGAGGCAAGCGAGCATACGGCTCACCTGATGGTAAGTAATCACTATCGTCCTTGAACATCTGCAACACCTGGAGAATTGCGGGTGCGGTGCCGGCCTTGTAGAAAGGAGTAGACTCTTTTCTCGTAGGTCCCTGAGTCGTGTCGGTCCGGAAGTACTTATATGGCCATTTATATCACATCATATTTGGATGTGATATTGATATTATGACAGAGTGGATAGGAATGTGCTATGGCAAACACTGAACTCATTTGGGTTGAGCGCTGGCTTGATACAGGCATTGTAATCTCTATTATAGGAACTCTAGTGCTTGTGTTAGGATCAACGGGGTCTACTCCGACTGGTTTGGCATCCATAAAGGTGTCAGACAGGGCTGTGTGGCTTCCCCGTGGTTGTTCAACCTATTTATGGACAGTTGTTTGCAAAATTTGAAAGTTGAAGAATGCGGATTAAGAATGGGTGAGTTAACCATCAAATGCCTTTTGTACGCCGATGATCAAGTTATTCTTGCGTCGTCAGCGGCTGAGTTGCAAATGATGGTTACATTAATGAACAGATCATTAAAAGAAAGGGGTATGAAAGTGAACGCAAGTAAGACGAAAATTATGGTTTTTGAAAGAGATGAAAGTAAAACGATATGTGAAATAAGAATAGATGGGGAGTTGATCGAGCAAGTAGATGAGTTTGTATATTTGGGTTGCGTATTTAGCAGGGATGGGAGATATGATAAGGATATAGAACGACGAGTGAACGCAGGAAACAGAGTAAATGGGGCCCTGCACTCTATTGTGAAGAGTCAAAATGTGTCAAAAAAAGGCACGTATGGCAATTCACAATGCTGTGTTGGTCCCTACTTTAACGTATGGTAGTGAAAGTTGGGTGTGGCAGAAGAAGCACGAGAGTAGAATAAATGCAGTAGAAATGCGGTCGTTAAGGAGTATGTTAGGGCTGAATCTGCATGACAGGGTGAAGAATTGTGTGATAAGAGAAGAGTGTGGTTTGCAAGATGATGTTGTGACCAGGATTAAGAAAGGAATGCTTCGGTGGTTTGGTCATGTGGAAAGAATGGATGAGGAAAGAGTGACAAAGAAAATTTATGTTGCAGAAGTGAATGGCAGAGTCGGAAAGGGACGTCCTAGGCGAAAATTTATCGACCAAATTGGCGATTTATTGAAAACGGGCCAAATTAGGAGTACCCTTAACCGACGAGCATGCATGCGTAGATGTATGGATGTGAAGGAGGCGAGAGAGGTGTGTCAGGATCGTGCCAAATGGAAGTCTGTAGTCTCTGCCTACCCCTCTGGGTGACAGGCGTGAGTGTTTATGTATGTATGTATGTATGCATATTTGGATACTTGCAATAAACTGTCTCATCAAAATCTGTAATATGGTACTTCCCGTTCACCTAGAATCATGAAATTTGGTAAGAAGCAAGGTCACGCAGCAAGAATAAAAGAAAAATCCGAAACTTGTTATGTTTAATTATATTACATAAAAAAGAAAACATTTTTTGCAATTACAAACTTACAGTTACAGTTGGCGCATCCACCTTGTAAACCGGTGGATGGGACATTTTTTTATTGAAAAGCTAAGTTTGTTCTTCAACTCCACTTACCTTTTCATTTATTTATGTAGCAAATATAACTCTCAAGCTAAATGCTATGAATTTCAGTGACTTACTTATTTTGATGAAAGTACCTTAGGTAACTTAGATATGATCGGAACCCTTATGGCGCAAGTAGGTACAACATATACAACTTCCAATCCTTTACATGTAATGTAGGTAGATAAGTACATGTACGTTACAGTCTACGCCAAAACATATATTACATATTCTTACACAGGTAGAAAAAAACAAATTACAGGTAGAAAAAAGACATAAGGAGGAATAGTAAGTGTAGTAAACTTTCACCTAAAGGAAACAATTCTTTGTTTTTAGAAATAAAAATAACTCAATTCAACAACCGATGAGCATGTATGCTCAGGTATATGGATCTGGAGGAGGCGAGAGAGGTGTGTCAGGATCGTGCCAAATGGAAGTCAGGTCTCTGTCTACTCCTCTGGGTGATAGGCGTGAATGTTTATGTATGTATCTATCAACATTTTTTTAAAGGCTTGCCTAAGCCGGGAATCGAACCAACTAAAATTCAAAAAATAAACACTCGTTATTTTATCGAACTAATTATCGATTTGTTCTGTGATAAGGATAAAATTTCAGGGATAAACATTGTATCTTACAAATATCGAAGACCTTGCAATCTTTTCAGATATGCTTATGTAACCTTTTATTTGGAATGATAGGATACAAACAATATTATAATCTGTAACGTACGATCTCAGTAGCGATCTCTTCCAGGCAACCGTTTGATACTGAGAATTCAAAAAAGCGGTAGAGTGCTAAAGAAAATATATCGACTAATAGGGTGTGTACACCAGTAGCAAACCAATTAAGCAACATTTTGATGATGTGACTCAATTAAAGCAAAAAAAATCCTCTTACTCTTTATCTACTATATTATAATCTGTTAAGTTTATTTAAAAACTAATTGGGCGTAATGGGCCTAAGTACCAACACTGAACCAGTAAATAAATCGAATTCTTTTAATGAAGAATAATTTTATTATTAATATTCGTGAACTTAATTAAGTTTTGTAATCAGTAATGATCATAACTTTAAATCATAGAAGATTAATGCTACAAGGCTAATGTTTTGTTTTTCATTTTATTTATGATTATGACAGTTGTAAGGAGAATATTACATTTTCGACATGTTTCTCTAACTTTGCGCCTTTATTTATATCGTCTATCGCTTTTATGACATATTTGGAAAAAAAGTTATTTTCGGTGTCCTTGTGTTTGTAGAAAGTGTAGGTGGTCAATTACTGGAACAAACTCGTAGTATAGCTATTATTATACCAGTAATAAACCAATGGTCAACGACTGGGAACATAGTGAATTTTTGAAGAATTTACTATAAAAATTATTGAAGTATCTTTGTGAATATAAATGTAAAAGAAAAATAAAAAATGTATTTAAAAATTTTATTCACCAGTTGTTGGCGAAATGGAATATTACTGAACAATCGTAGAATTTGTCTGCCAATGGTTTATCAATGACAACAATTGATTTAAATTAGCATTTTCTGATAAAATAAGAAGTAATATTATTCTTATATTTATTGTATTAGGCAGTTAACTCGAAAATAAAGTCCAATTATTGATATGAACAAAAATTTAATAGGGTCAAAATAAATTAGCTTGCTTCATTAAATTTGCTTAGTAAAATGGCCGTCCGGAACGAAGTGAATAATCATCGTTACAGATTATTTGTTTTTTTACTGATGTACATGGCGCATATATCGCTTATAGTTGTGATTACACGATTAGTAGCAAGGCTATCACACGTAAAAAAATTATGGGAATTTCAAAAGAAGGTTAATATTTAGGTTTGAATATTGAAATAGTCTACTACTGGTTCTTGGCGGGGGACTGGTGCATCGCGAATTTACAAAGGCATTACAGTGAAAGTGCAAACTGAACTGGCTTAGCTTTTGTTTGACAAAAACTTGACGAAACCCTAATCTATTCTAGTACAGAAATTGACCGAAACCGCGTAGACTTTGTTAGATAAATTCATTCTAACATTGCAGCTACAAATGCTATTCAATTTCATACCGATCGTTAGATTCAATAATAGGTTAATAAGTACATGTCAATTGTTATTATTTTAATATTACAATATTTAAATATTTCGTTTTTATTGTGTATTTGTTTGACAAAAAAAGGAAAAACTTAACATAATTAAAAACGAACTTTTATTAGATAAGAAACATGTACACACTGCACACTTGTTGCGTGTACAAATAATAATAAAACTAAAAAAATAGTTTTTCTTGAGTACCTCTAATGTAAAATACAAAAGGCAGATAGTTATTTTTATCAAATTTACGATTAGCTTAGTATTTTTACAATTTAAACGTAGTAACAGCCAGTTTTATTTAAGTATGGCACACAACTATGCACATAACATAACACAACAAAACACAAGATATGAAGCATACTATACTCGTAAGTAAATGCTTTGTTTATGGAGGAAAAAGAGTTAAAATTGAGTAACACAAGAAAACACTTTTATAAAATGTATGGGTGCGTGTTTTTAAAAATATATCGACAAAAGCTTCTCTATTGGAGTGAATATGTATAATACAGTACTAGGTTTTGTCCGTGCATTTTATTTGTAAATATCAAGACAAAAAGCTAATCCATTT